AATTCCTTGTTGAAATCTCTTACATTGGACTCTCTTGGTCTTTGATGAACATTGAATAAGACAAGTTATTTTTGTCTCATTTTTATTTATCTATTACTTACAAGTCTACCTGATCATTAAAACTATGAAAGTACTTTTTGTATTATACAATAAAAAATCTTGCAAAATTCTCTTATTCTTTTAACCTTTCAAGTACATTATTTACAGTGACTAATTATCAAAAGTAAATGGCAAAGGGGAATAACTCCCCTCAGTAGAATACAAATTAATAGAGCCCTGGCCAGGACCAGAACACTTGACAAAATGGTCCAGATGTTCAAAAATATTTATTAAAACTTTTACTCTTTTTGCCTCTGATATGCCCAGGTGCAGAGAAGATTTTCAAAGAAATAATGCATTTTTTACTACAGATTCACTACATTATCAGTAGATCCCCCCAGCCCCCCCCCCCCACCTCCCATCCCCACCGAGAAACACCAGAGCCTCTCACCCTGGGACCAGAAGTTTATTTATCATACATGTAAGTAATCACTTTGTTTATCTGATTAACACTAAGGAGCAGACAGGATTATTTAACAGAATTAATGCATTTTCACTATATTATCAAGAGCCCCACCCTTACACCAGCACATCTGACCCAGGGGTCATGCAATTCACTACTCTGGAAGAAGCAATCATGCTCATCATAACTATACACTTAGCTTCTTTCCTTTTTAACCAGAAGCAGAAAAGAATATTTTCAGAGAAATTTTGCTTTTTCACTATATAATCAATAGAGCCCCCCCCCCTTTTCACCAGAACCCTTGACCCTGGGGCCATGAAATTCACAATTTTGGAAGAGGCATACTTGCGTATCATAACAATGTACTAATAGTTTGTTTAAATAATACCCAGGGGCAGAGAAGAAGATTTTTAAAGAAATAATTCACCTTCACTATAAGATATATATGGCCCCGCCCTAGCACCAGAACCCCTGTACCTGGGGGCATGAATTTCATAATTTTGGAAGAAACATCCTTGTTTATCATAACAATGTACATAATTTGTTTAAATAATACCAAGGAGAGTAGAGAAGAAGATTTTTAAAGCATTAATACATTTTCACTATATAATAAATAGAGCCCCACCCTAACACCAGAACCCCTGATCCAGGGTCCATGAAATTCACAATTTTGGAAGAGGCATCCTTGCTTATCATAACTATGTATTTAATTTGTTTAAATAATACCCAGGAGTTGAGAAGAAGATTTTCAAAGAAATAATGCACTTTTACTATATGACCTAGATAGCCCCGCCCTAGCACCAGAACCCCTGACCCTGGGGCCATGAATTTCACAATTTTGGAAGAGTCACTCTTGCTTATCATAACTATGTATTCAATTTGTTTAAATGATACCCAGGAGTAGAGAAGAAGATTTTCAAAGAAATAATGCACTTTCACTATATGACCTAGATAGCCCCGCCCTAGCACCAGAACCCCTGACCCTGGGGCCATGAATTTCACAATTTTGGTAGAGTCACTCTTGCTCATCATAACTATGTATTTAATTTGTTTAAATAATACCCAGGAGTAGAGAAGAAGATTTTCAAAGAAATAATGCACTTTCACTATATGATTTATATAGCCCCGCCCTAACACCAGAACCCCTGACCCTGGGGCTATGAATTTCACAATTTTGATAAAGTCACTCTGGCTTATCATAACTATGTATTCAATTTGTTCAAATGATACCCAGGAGTAGAGAAGAAGATTTTCAAAGAAATAATGCACTTTCACTATATGACCTGTATAGCCCCGCCCTAGCACCAGAACCCCTGACCCTGGGGCCATGAATTTCACAATTTTGGTATAGTCACTCTTGCTTATCATAACTATGTATTCAATTTGTTTCAATAATACCCAGGAGTAGAGAAGAAGATTTTCAAAGAAATAATGCACTTTCACTATATGATCTATATAGCCCCGCCCTAGCACCAGAACCCCTGACCCTGGGGCCATGAATTTCACAATTTTGGTAGAGGGCTCAATGCTTATTACAATCATGCCAACAGTTTGGCTGCTTGATGTCCAGGAGTAAAGAAGAAGATTTTTAAAGATTGCATTAATTTTGGTGGTTTTAGCCCCACCCCTCAGGCCCCAGGGGGGGGGGGGCAGGGACCATGAAATTCACAATTTTTGTCCCTCTTCACCCATAGATGCTATATGCCAAAATTGGCTGAAATTGATTGAGCGGTTTCAGAGAAGAAGCTGAAAATGTTTAAATGTTAACGCACGACGCACGACGGACGACGCACGACGACGGACAAAAACGGATAGCAATAGGTCACCTGAGTGACTCAGGTGACCTAAAAAAGAATACAAAGTTGATGATATAAAAAAAAAAACCAGGTGGGATGTTTTCTGATAAAGAGCGTTTTATTCGAATTTAAGATTTTAGTGCCATCAGATGTTCGTAGACAAAAAATCAGCAAGCATTACCAGAGGTTTTGAAAAGATATCAATTGATGAAAATTCTTGTATAATTCATAGAAAAATATACAAAAAATATTAAGCATATATTCTAGATGATTTGTTTACCCAAACTTGTTTTAGAAGAAGCGTACAACTGCATATATAGACATTAAAATGTAGCACACAGATCCTTTAAGTATTGGAACTCTTCATGTCAAGGGAAAAAGAAAATAAAGGTCAAACTACGTTATTTATGTCCTTAAATGGAAAAAATGGCCTGAAGAGGATAATGTTTTGTCATTGATGCCTTTAAGAATGACTAAGCTTTCCTTGTACAATTACTTTTTAAGAAAATAATTTGGTTTATAACTTACCATTGCCAAATTTGATAATTCAGCTTCAATTGTTTAGTTTAAGAATAAAAAATCACGATTTTAGTTAGCAATAAATGAACACTTTTATGAATGTTTAAGTTGAAACACTTTTTGCAAGATAGAGACGACCTAATACGGCATTTTAACATTCAGGTTAAAGACCTTCTATGCTGATGTACTGCAAAATAAAACAAGATCAAGATATGATGATTTGTTGATGAAGTACAATGTACATGTAGTTCATGGGATGTTTAGCTATTGACCTTGGAGAATTCTATTTTTATTCAAATAAACAGTTTATGTTGTAATAATTCTAAAATAGTTTTAAATAATATCTACGTGAAAATCGAGTTTCCAACATACCTGGGTATTGTACATGTACATAAATTTGGAAATCTCTGACCTTATTTCTATAATTGATTTTCGATTCTTTTCTGTGTAATATTTTTGGAACATCAAGGAAGAGGTAGATAAATGTGTCTCGGTTGAATGGTTTTAACAATTTGATTTGAACAGTTTGTTCACCACATATTAGTGATTTTAAGGATAATATAGACATACACCCGAAGCATATTGCAGAATCACTTAAAATCACACCGTTTGGTGTTTCCAGAGGTCCGTGATTTTTTACCCTGTTTACGATTTATATTCATTACTCTATTTTTGAGATTGATCACTGTTTGTATTTTTCACCTTTCAAATTTACACGTAGACATAACGTGTTAAACGCATGAAGATGACAAGAGCAATTTAATATTAAAAACGTTAGATATGTTAGTGATGAAAGATACTACTTTTTCTTTTAGAAGCATTTTGTGTATCATAAAATAATTTGCATGGAAGTATCGCTATATTTATCTAAACTATTCGAAAGAACATGGAATATAAAAGTATTTGAAATAAAGAATTGATCGGAATAATGGAAGACTTATTTTAAAATTGATTTAAATAAATTCCAAAGCATTTTTTGGTCATCATCATTATTTTTAATTCAAAATCACAGGGCTACTTAAAATTCTCTCTCTCTCTCTCTCTCTCTCAATAAAAATTGATGATAATTATGCCATGGTTTTTACAAGAGTACAAGTTCAAGTTCTTGTAGTTTACTTTATGTATAGGTATCAAAGTTCTTTTTTTTTCTTTTGTTTTGAAATAGTGAATTGACGCTTAAGGCTTCCAAATTTTTCTCAATAGCATACGATTTTTCACTTAAAATATCCTTTATGCATTTAAGCATTTTAACTTCAATTGAACAATTCTTCTTTCATTCGGTCACGAATACAAAATAGGATAAATGTAAACAGGTAAGGTATATTTTCATCGTCTTCATAATAAATTGTATGTTGGAATAAAAGAAAACGTCGATATGTATAAGGGATGTTAATTAAAACTCTCTCTCTCTCTCCACACACACACACACACACACACACACACACACAGAGAGAGAGAGAGAGAGAGAGAGAGAGAGAGAGAGAGAGAGTTATTGAACCATATAAACACATCATGCCAAATACATGCGATATCCTTTCCACATACATATTAGGTATTAATGAGCATTTTGTATCACATTGCTTGAAGAAAAGAAGGGGCGATGTTCAATACAGAACTCCTGCAATCTTCAACAAATGTTTTTCTCAAACATTCTAGTAATGGGTTTTAACATAAGTGAGACAATATTTACATAAGCACAGGATTACATCCAGAACAAGATATTCTTTTAAAGATTTTAAGTGCTTCAGACAAAGGCGTTAAGAATTAATTATTGGTAGTTTAGAGACAAGGAAAATATCTAAAAATCGTTTCTCCAGTACAGTTTAGGACAGTAATTGGAATATCAGTATGATAGATAATTGATTGTCTGAAAAAGATGTTCCATTTTATAACGTTTTTCAAAGAAATATCAGATGCATTGAAAACAAGTGTAGATTGTGCATCTGTGTTAGCGTCTGAAATCAGTCCAAATCAATTTCGTTATAATGTTCATATTTGTTTTAGTATTAATACTGAAATTTTCTATCGGTTTTGCTCAAATCTATGAACACAAATTCAGATATGTAGAAACGACATCAAAAGTAGAGAATTCTAACGTTTATTGTGAATTTCTTCTGTCAAAAAAGAAGAGTCCAAGACTGAAGTGTGGATCAGAATGTACGATAAAAGAAAATTGTAGAGGAATGGAAGTTTGTGATGGTATTCTTTGTCGACTGTGGAATGAAAGTTTCTTCCAGGGCATGTCTGTCAATTCATCTTCTGACCAGTGTCAACGGTATAGTAAGGTATTATTTAGAATATTTATCAACTTCTTCATACCAATACTTTATCCTTTCATAAGAATAGACACTTGTTTGCATACGTTAATTCTTTTTGTCCTAGTCGTATCTAGAGGTATGGAAGGGAAATGCGACTTATCAATCAACGGTTCTTCAAAATGGTAAGTGCCCGGACAGCATTTAATTTCAATTACATTTAAGAAGTATTTAACACGTATTAATTTTCAAGAAGCAATCAATTCTTTTCTATAAATAAACAAAGTATGTAAAATCTTGTCTATCCAGATGATCAGAATACAGAAAATTGGCAGACAAGAACTAGCAGCATTGGAGAAGAGACAGATTATCTTTGGGAATCGACAACTGATGTTTTAATAACAGCAAATAATGATGTCACGGGAACGACCAGTGGTATCTCTACAACAACAACGCTACAAGATGCAACAAACAGCATGATCTCTACGTCCATGACATTACTGGAATCAACAACTAGCAGTACCTCTACATCAACAACGCTAAGCGAGAAAACAAATAGTGATACCTCTTCATCAACAACACCAAGCGATATCACAAGTAATGGTACCCCTACATCAACTACACTAAGCGATACCACAAGTAGTGGTACCCCAACATCAACAACAATAAGCGATATCACAGCTAGCGGTACCTCTACATCAACAACAATAAGCGATACTACAAGTAGTGGTACCTCTACATCAACAAAGCCAAGCGATATCACAAGTAGTGGTACCTCTACATCAAGAACACTAAGCGATACCACAGCTAGCGTTGCCTCTACATCAACAACACAAAGCGATACCACAAGTAGTGGTTCCTCTACATCAACAACACTAAGCGATACCACAACAAGTGGTACCTCTACATCAACGACGCTAGGTGAACGCACAAGTTGTGGTCCCTCTACATCAACAACACTAAGTGATGCCACAACTAGAGTTACCTCTACTTCAACAACATTAATTGACACAATAACTAGCTCTACCTCTTCATCAACAATGCTACTAGATTCAGCAATTAGCAGTGCCACAACATCCTCAACAACCAACGGTTTCTCTGCAACAACAGCGCTACTGGGTTCGAAAACTAGCGGCGTCTCCATTTCAACCACTATTACAGGTATTACAAATATTATATATATATATATATATATATATATATATATATATATATATATATATATATATATATATATATATATAGGTACACTTTTAAAAATGAAACACGAAAATGTTTAGTAAAGCTTTAGCGCTTTCATTTTCAATCTTCAGAAGCATTGTAAAGCTTCTGAAGATTGAAAATGAAAGCGCTAAAGCTTTACTAAACGTTTTCGTGTTTCATTTTTAAAATTGTACCAATAATTTACCGAGCACTGTGGATTTATATTTATATTTCAATATATTATCTGAAACAACTTTTTTGAAGAATGTCACTGCTTATGATTCAGTCTAAAATTGTAAGCTTTAAGTGCTACCTATTACAAAAGATAAGACTATTTCTTTTTAAACAAAACGATGTGGAATGAACTACTTTTTACGGTGGCCCGCGTGGCGTGGTGGTTAGAGCGTCTGCTCTAGAGTCGTGGAGTAAGGAGTTGATCCTTACGTCGTTGGTTCGAATCCCACTTGGAAACGTGGGGAGCTTTCCTTCGGATGAGAACATATAAACCGAGGTCCCGTGTCGCAGTAGGTGCTGGCACGAAAAAAATCACTCACTGCTCAATGGCCCTAAGTGCCGAATATAGGTCTAAATTTACCCTCCACCGACAAGTGGTGGCGTCTCAATATGAGTAAAAAGTTCTCGAGAGGGACCTTAAACAACAAACAAAGAAAACCTATTACAAATGTTCATCCAAACGTTAGTCCCCGAGGGTCTCTACAGTCCAGTAAACTAGTACTTCGGTACTAGCTTGAAAAATGCGGATATATATTTAATTAGTGTGGTAAAATTTAAGCATTTTTTTTTCAAAATTAAGGATTATCTCCCTCTTGCATAGCTCTGATCCTTCGACGTATTTGGCTCCAGTCTTTGGCACCTCTTCCAAGTCTTTTTTATTTAGATATTTTGGATTTCAAACGTTTCGGCTTGAGCACCACTGAAGAGACATAATTTGTCAAAATGCGCATCTGGTGTATCAAATTTGGTACCGTAAGTGATTTAGATAATACAATATAGTGTTAGATGCATTGATGTTATCAATGCTTCACATACAAAAAAATACTATAGTAAACTATAGTTTACTATATTAAACTATAGTAATAACTTTGACACCATGAAAACTTTAGTTAACTATAGTTAACTATAGTTATAAATTTGACACTTTGATTTACTATTGTGATAACGTTAAAAACATTGATTTTTTTTTTTTAGTGACCACTATATGACACTAAAGTGATAACTATAAAACTTTGAAATACGTAAGTGATCACTAGTAAAACTTTGATTTACTATGGTGATCACTATGACACAATAGTGATAACATTGATCTACTATACTGATAACTTTGAAACTTTGATTTACTATAGTTAACTATGGTAAACTCGAGTTAACTATAGATTACTATAGTAATTTTTTGTTAGAGTTATTCAATTGATATAACTGCTTTTTGGTCTTTCGTTTAAGTTGCGTAGGAATTAGATTGTACACGTTCTAAACACTGTGCGAAAGCGCATTTTATAACTTTGACAGAGTAGTAATTGAACACATATACAGTAACAGGAATGAAAACACATAACATACCCATATGATTGAATTATTACATCTAGTATTGAGACTAGCTGATATTTCTTTAAAACATCAAAATCCATTCTATATTTTTTTCATTACTTTTAATATAATAATCGTTAATAATAATATAATCTAATTGGCTCTTGTGAACCATCGAAACCCTATTTACATGTATCAATGGGTTTTTTTCTTTCAAAAAGCAACCGCTCCATAAATTCCATACATGTGATGTATATGTTGTGTCAGTTTAATTCAATGTGGAAATAAACAACACGTTTGAAAAGATGAAGAGAAGTACGACAGAGTCCTTATATTTAACGAAACGTTACGAAACCAAATCAATCCGATCTAAATGAGAATTTTTTTTTTGCTTCAATCATGCGTTATGCTTTGAAAGATAAAATATTTTCTTTGCAGAGAGTCCAATCGAAGCATGTGTTATGCAATACCAGTTTCAAGATGGAAAGATTGTGGATATCCCTTGTCTAAATGATACCTATCACTGGATTGTAAGTTCAATGTTTGTAAAAGTCTTGTACAGGTTTTTTTTTTTTTTTTTTTTTTTTTTTTTTTTTTTTTTTTTTTTTTGAAATGTAAGAGATGCGATGACGAATTTATTACGAAATATATATTGGAGGCTTTTGTATAGACTCATCAAAAGCGTTTCAAAAATAAACAAACATATTTCGGTTTCTCCCTAATTTCGGAATACGTTTGTCACTTATATCACTGATTTTTTTTTGTTTGTTTGCGTACATATCTGTGGGATAAAAGGTAGATTTAAGGGGTGGGGAGTAAGACGTAGAATTTTTTTTACTAGTAATACATCGGAGGAACGTCCTTCATTTTTCGTAAACCGTGATTGAATTGACAAATTTATAAAATAAAAGTAGTATTTGTTTTCATTTTGAAAAAAAAGATAACAATAAAATTACACAGGGTGTTCAAAAAAATCGCTGACTTCTGTCATATCTATTTTATTTAACAGCATACAAGTAATTTTCTAAATTTGTTAGATAGAGTATTTTTAAGAAATTCATTATGTTATGTTTTTGACGTTACAATGCAGTTACAATTAGTGAATGTTTGATCCGTGGTAAAAAAAAAAAAAAAGTGTTGATTTTAGAATTAAGTAACAGGGGTTCCATTTGATCATAATTATGGAGTGAAACTTCACACTTCAACAGAATAAGTATTTTCACATATGATTGTGTTCTGATCTTGAATTATCTTTAGTATAACAAATATTGACAATTCCACGAACTTTTCCAACAGCCGACGCATATAATACGAAAAATTCTATCACTAATAAATTGATTGATGAAAGAGATGACGTTGAAATTATATGTGTACACTAATTGTGGATTACGTACAAAGATGTTGTATGTGAATTGTCATTAATAATTTCAGAAAATTTGATATGAAATATTCTGTCAGTCGAAACAATAAATTATTAAAAATAACGCTCATTTCTTTCTCAAAAGTCTTTTTTATGCAATTATCGATAGATCATTTATATTTCTAAAATGCCATGTTTCAGGTAATTCAAAGGCGAATCGATGGGTCTGTAGATTTTTACAGAAACTGGACCGAATACGAGAACGGTTTTGGATCTGTAAACTCTGAAATCTGGTTAGGTGAGTTAATAGCATCTACTTTTTTTATTCGAATGTCTTTTTCATCAGCTGAGGGGGAGAGGGGGGATTACTTACATTTACTATGTTTAAAAAATATTTTTTTTTTATATTATTCATATCACTTCATATTGATAGAGAGGGACAGACGACCAAATAAATAATCGCTAGTGGAAACAATTTTTTTTATTTATCAATTAGAAGGAAAAATAATGCAAAATTTATATAAGCGGATATTGTTTTTGCTAAGAACTTTATTTTGTAAAAAAAATATTTACAATTCAACTGTTGGGTAGTATTAATAAGATAACTAAATATGTGTGAGGATTTGTGAATATACTAGCTTTTAAATATTACAACTGAAAAAAAAAAAAAAAAAAAAACATTACTCATATTAAATTTCAACTTGTTACCAATTCTACAACTGGTACAGGTTATTTGATCAAGGTTAATTTTGACCTTGAACGGACGAAAGAACTCCATGACAGAAGGTTTTCGTTAAAACATATCATTCAACATGTTGAAAGCAAATATTCATGAAGGCATATCATCATGTACATGTACTTAAATGTTACTTTAATTTCTCACACTGAAACCCGGGATGTAATTCTAGACGTATATCATATGAAAAGATGTCCCTGAGGTAAAATGCTGTAAAATGTTGTAAAGGAAATTAATTCTTAATGATAGAGAAAAAATGCTTTCCATTTGTTAATTTCTCCTTTCTTAATAAAAAATAATACAAACATGTAAGTCTTGAGTGCCTATCTTTGTGAGAAGAGTGCGGCTAATAAGTTTCTTATATAAATGTATGTTTTTGCATGCTGCAGAATGCTTACTGGTACATGTATATCAGAAAGGGATAACTTTTGTGAATTTGATGGGTATCCCTGGCTGAATGTTTTAGGTCACCTGAGTCACTCAGGTGACCTATTGCGATCTGTTTTTGTCCATCATTGTGCGTCGTTCATTAACATTTAAACATTTTCAACTTCTTTTCTGAAGCCGCTGAACCAATTTCAACCAATTTTGACATGAAGTATCTATGAGCAAAGGAAACAATAATTGTGAATTTCATAGAACCTCCCACTGGAGCCTGAGGGGTGGAGCTGGAACCATAAAAATTAGTGCTGTTTTTAAAAATCGTTTTCTTTACTCCTGGAGAGTAAGCAGTCAAGCTGTTGACATAATTATAATAAGCATTGTGCACTCTGCCAAAATTGTGAAATTCATGGCCCCAAGGTCAGGGATTCTGGAGTAAGGGTGGGGCTGTTACATCACATAGTGAAAATGCATAAATTCTTTATACATCTTCTTCTCTCCCCCCCCCCCCCCCGTATTCTAAGCAGATACACTACATGGAATATTGAGGGGTCTCTATTGATTATATTGGGAAAATGCGTTATTTCTTTTCTGCTCATTGGTATTAAGCAAATAAATTAAATGCATAGTTATGATGAGCTGGGGCGCCTCATCCAGATTAATTTTATAAATTTCATGGCGCCTGGGTCAGGGGCTTTGTTAGGGTGGGACATTTTTTTTGAAATTTTTTTTGAAAAACTTCTTCTTTGCTCCTGTGTGTTTAGCAAACAAACATAGTGTTTTCATGATGAGCAAGGATGCAAAAGTATAAAATTCATGGCCCCTGGGTCAGGGATGCTGGTGTTAGGATGGGACTCTATTGATTATATTAATGAAAATTCTTCGAAAATTTTTCCTCTCCTCTTGGGTATTAAGCAGATAAATTAAGTGCATTGTATGATGAGCAAGGGTGAATGTTCCAAAAATTTGAAATTTATGGCCCCGTGGTCAAGGGTCAAGTCAACCACTTTGTCAGGTGTTCTCGTGTTGGGCAGGGCTCTATTAATGTGTATTTTACTGAGAGAACTTATTCCCCTTTGCTATTTAACCACTGTAAACGCATGTAATGTAAATGAAAGGTTAATTTTTAAGAGTTTTGTACAAGAATGTTTATAATGAGTTTTATACAGAAACTACTTTTATAGTTCTTAATGGTCAGGTAGAATTGTTATTTATAAATTAAAAAAATTAGACAAAAAATCTTATTTTTGTACATTAAATATTCTTCATAGACCAATGGAGGCCAATGTGAGAGGGAATGAAATGGGTTTACCAATTGTGCACAAGCACTTTTGTTTTGATCAGTTTACAAGATAATACGAGGGGTGATCAAAAAGTTCGCGAAGTAATTGAATTACTTCCATAAAAGAAATAAAATTAGGCTTCAGTGTGTATTATTTTTGTAGTAGTCCTCTCCGGATTTATTGCACGTCTGCCACCGTTCTGCCCATGCCCGATACACGTGGTCCAGGCGGTCACGTGACATGCTCCGCAGCGTTCTGTTCACAGCAGCTAAAAGATTTTTCCGAGTCTTGTATTTCTTACCATGCTGGTTATTTTTTATAAGATGTATAGTCCATTTGTCACAAATGGCCAAATCTCGGTAATATGGAGGTTGGATAAGGATATATTTTACTTGAATGAGGATGGTGACCATCACAACTCGACTGATCTGTCTTAGATGCGTTGTTTTTGAAATGTGAATCAAGTATATGCACCTTCTCTATGTCATATCTGATATGTTTCAAATCTGAAGTAAATGATATTTTGAGAATTTTTAATTAATATTTTATTGTTATGGTATTCAAATATTTTTTCGAACTGTAGTCTTTTATAACAAATTGCTCAAAAAAGGTTACACCTTTTCCCCAGCTCACTTTCACTGGGCGAGAGAACGAACATCTGTAACTTTTAAACATCTCCATTCCTTTACTAAAACAATCAATCCTCTTAATGATTGAACTTCTTTCAAGTTCCTTGTCTTCATAAACCCTGTACAAATTATTATATACCACTGCAAAGAAATTTCCAAGATTTCGTTAAACTATACAGCCCTTCCTTGCACGAGTAAGACCGAAACACCCATTTTTCGTCACAAGTCACCTACATATTGACGTCATTTTCACATTATGACGTCACAAACATGGAGCAAAACTTCACATAACATTTGCTATTTATAGAAGATTTGTGTGACAATATGTGTGCCAAATTTCATTTTGATCTGAATTTTGGTTTTGTAAATATAGAGATAGTTCGCGAACTTTTTGATTACCCCTCGTAGTTACAAATGAGGGCAGATACAGTCAACTAAATAAATCTAGTTTAAGATTTATTAAGGAGCACTAGACTATTTATCTTGTTGATCCCTTATCATTATATTTCTTGCTTTGGGCAACGTAGTTCATCTTTCAGTTCGTTTTATTTTATACAGCTATGTATCTTTTACACTGTTGTATTATACTCAGGCAACTGTTAAGGCCATTTGGGCGTTTGTTTTATAAGAAGACGTTAGTCTACGAATGAAGGACCCTAATAACCTGAACTTTTTTGCTAATCCAGGAATACTGCACTCAAGAATCTAACAATTTCTCCAGTAACCTTTATTGACTTTTTTCCCCATAATTATATAAATTTGACAGATATATTATTTTGAATATAATTATGCCAAGTGAAGTATATTATTTATAAAGCATAACTATTACTGTAAGGATGAAAAGCGACTTTTTATGTAAGCATGCTTGAGGATTGAAATCTACTTATATATACATATTAACTACTTTGGAAAATATTAAACAAGTCCGGTTATCAGTTTTGTTCAATTCATTACTGTTGCATGAATTTATATATCTTTCTAAATTATAAGTATTGCAAATAATATGAAATGTTTGTTTTGGAAAAATTAGTAATAAAACTGTAGTAATATATAAATTATGTACCTAATAATATCATAGGTAACCAATATATAAACGAATTGACCAGCTCTGGATACACTATTCTGAGGTTAGATATGATGGATCAGGACTCGGTATGGAGACATGTTGAATACAATTTTACCATAGAGGATAGAGCAAATAAGTATCGACTTCACATAGTATGCAGGGAATCTTGCGATATAGGTATTCATTTTTTTTTTATATTTACGTTTTCTATTTCTTTACAAAATACAAGACAATTCATTTTCTAATGAACTACGTCCCTTTCGGATGTAACCATGTCGTTGTACTCATATTTATTATATATCAAAATTAAAAATCAAAATATATCAAAAATATGTTATTGAAAAATTCATCTTATATTGATCATGTAACGAATTTTGAAGTTTTTTGCAACATAAGCTTACAAAGTGTTGCAGCAAAGTTTCTTCCATTACGATAATTAAGCCAAATGCATTATTTCTACAGTTTAAAACTTTGCACTTGAATGCTTTAAAGTGTGAGTAGTTTAATAACTTGAAAATTTGTTTATTTTTCGTTAGATCAAGGAGAAAAGGTGATGCAAGTTTATATTAAGTATAGTTTACTTATTTTGAGTTAAGGTACAATGGTTTCCGAAACAGAAGCGAATTTTTTAAATATCTCATAAAATGCCTGACCAATTTTTTTATTATTTGCACAACGTTCGAAAATGATGTTTTTTCGACATAATATTATGACGTTGTAACCTCATTTAAATATGGAATCGGCAAATAGAGGACATAAAAAATCAGTGAACAGCAGGTTTTTTTTTCAATATTAAGAAAACATTGTCAATGGTGTTTTATTTATTCTAAACTCTATAATCTGTAATACTAATGTGAGAAAATTCATTAGTGTGACATCATAAATGGCATGTATTATGAAGTCATAGGCACAAGCACTTTCATTTGAATATTATCAAGAATTAATAGCGACGTAGGGTGCACCAAATTAAAATATCATTTTATGCACTGATAAGCGGGGAATGGCTCCTGTCATGGAAAAAAATGGTGGAAATAATAAAACTACACAAAAGTGCCTTGGACACAGGTTTATACCTGGTAGAAGACGATTGGACTAGTCATCCCATAGAGCCTGGTAAAGCAACAGAAATGACGAAAATTGAAAAGAAAAAAAAACTCGAGAACGTCGATTAAATGTAGCGTCTCGAGAGGTTGAGATCATAATCGTGGTTGGGAAAGAGTCTACTAAAATTAATTCTGCGATCTTTTGATGGCTCTAGAATGTGTGAGATATAGCTGGTTCCGCGATTACTGACTGAAAATCAAATGTACTTTCCAATTTTCCGAGATTTTAAATTTATAAAGAAAAGAAGACCAATTTCTGAACAAAAACTCCCCGTAGTCGTTGTTGCACCGACACTTATTATGTAAGATCTGTTTAATATTTGGGTTTTCTGGGACAACCCTCATAATATTAATAGGTAGAATTAATTTCTTTCCCTATCCAAATCATTTTAATATGTTTTTATCCTCGTATTCAAACCTATTATAATGCTAAACCTTTTACTAGTGTACTAGTAATTGAACAATTTTCGAATGTCTCAATTGTGTTTTCTTTTTAAGAGACACCTTTTAACAGACACCTTTGGCAGATGTACCAAAAATATAAATGCACATATTTTCAATTTAAGGTATAAACATGTAAATAAAAGTAATTTTTATATGTTTTATAGACAGCATGTGGACTGGTCTTTTCTCTACCTATGATGAAGATAATGATAACTGGAAGCAAAAAGACTGTGCACTGGACTACAGTGGGGGATGGTGGTACTCAGGGGATGCGTACTGTACAGAGGGCAATCTTAATGGAATGTACTCTATAACTGGCCAACACAATGAAAAGCGGGGAATTTATTTTTTTCATTGGCATGGATATGAACCCCTTAAATACGTCAGAATGATGATTCGACAGCCGTGAATTTGGTACTAGCATATCTTACAATCACTTTTTGCTGTAGTAAGTTGTAGTTTGATTTCAAATCATATTTTACATTTTATGAATTACCGATTAAGAAAAAAATATTAAAAGTATTTTCAGAAAAGATCAAACACTTTATTCTTCATTAAAAATATTTTTAAACATTTTTTTTTTAAATTTCTTCACTCCAGAGTGCAACAGAACAAACGCTTAATTCATTTACTGTGAACCGGAGGATTTTTTTTTTATAGTTTTTATACTGACTTAATATACTATCTAGTATATTCACAGTGACATAATGGGTATATCAATATCTGGTTTTTCTAGTATAGATAATGAGTATAAAGGTATTTGTTTCCGATTAGTGAACGGTATTTTCCACACATACAAATTTGTCTCTGTTAGAGAAAACAAATATCAGGTATGCACTAAAGGTGCACGAACCCTTAGTTTGAATTTCAGGTACAAGGACCTTATAGTACAATAATAATGTAATTTTTTAATGCTTGCAATTGTCTTTGTTATTTAGGTGTTTGCTCATGCTTGCTGTTGATTGTTGACAAATGTTAAGCATATCATAGCTTAGACTATTTAGATTTTACATTATGTAGTTACAGACATTTTAACTTTCTGCATTGTAATTTGTAAAACATTTTCATTCTAAATATCTATGAATCGTCTTGTACTAATATTTCCTAAATTAAAGCATATTTCCTGCACGTGAGCAAAGTAATCCACATTTTTTTTCTTAATAACCATTATCTCTACAACCATCTTCGCTAGCCAAAAGTTTCTGATACGCTACTCTCCTCATAGGCCCTTGGCATACAGTGCTGATAAAAGACGGGATTGTTTTCGTCACGTGATCACGATTCTTACCAGGTTACGCACAGATTGCGTCATCGACAGAAATAAAAGCGTATTTAAAAAAATAATGTTTTTAAAGAATAATAAACAAGAAGGTATTGAGTTATGTTAATTTGTTATTTAAACATGTTAAAATGCAAATCAACATCTTCAGTACAGATTCTTAATTACATATTTTGCACGTTGCTTAAAGGATGACACCATATAGCTATTCATAGAATGGCATGTTATCTTACGGATCGTTGTTTACTTGCGTTTTTCATTCCCGATATTAAAGAGTCAAGATATATCCCGAACGCAAATATCGTCATTTACAAAAAACAATTGCTGATTGGTCGAACGATGTCGATCAAATCCAATCACAACATGAGAAAAAAATCCCAACTTTTTTAAACACCGTATGCCAAGAGCTAATGAGGAGAGTAGCATATCAGAAACCCTTGGCTGGCGAAGATGCTCTACAATAAAATGTATCAGATTTCTGATCTGGTGGCTTAAATGCTAGTTTTCTTAATATCCTGGTACATGTGCTGATGAATTTTGCTGATGATTCTGTACGCTAATTTCCTTATGCTGATCATGATGATTTATTTATATGAAAACGCCCTCACCAACACTTATATCATTGACACTTTTTACATCAATTATAACAATGATATTAGTCTTATGATAAAATACAAGGAACATTGCATGCTACAAAAGTCAGCTTAGGGAAAAATAATATTAATTATTTGTTTCGCTCAACAAGGACGTCACTGCCTATGACACTGTGGTACGAAAAGACAAATGCAACGAAAAATCAAACAAGATGTAAGAAACAGAAAATTCAATATTTTGTAGTTGGTTTTGGAATTTATTTCGCTTGTAAAACAGGATTTTTGATACTTTAAACTCGTGCTTCGCACTCGTGAAAATATCCAAAAATCATGTCTCATTCGTGGAAAAAAATTCCATATCCAACTACTAATCATTTAGTATCCTCTATCAATCAAGCAGAAAGAAAACAAACCACAAGCAGAGTGAAAATAAACACCATTTATATAAAAAATCCTGGTCCTTCGGAGGCCCTAAGTGCCGAACATAAGTCAAAATTTTCAGCTCTCCACCGGCAAATGGTGGCGTCTCCATATGAGTGAGCTTTTTATAAACGGTGTTTTTGTTCCAACTCTGATATTTGTATTGTACCACACAGGAATGCTAGGAAAATTTTTCCATGTATGTTTATTATCAAAAGATTTAATAATCTGAAGTATGAACTTAAAAAAATCTTGCCAAAAACAATTGTTTTTGGGAATTACACATTCAGAGATATACGCACCACCAAAATCAAGTAATTTGTGAATAAAATCTGTACCCTTTATACCTTTAAATATCTATCCTAGGTTTATGACCTGCTATTAGACTTTTCAGCCAAGGACATTTCAAAGACAAAATAAAATTGCTAATTTGCACTATTTTCAATTCCTCATGCTGATAATCTTGAATTAAAACTGTACGTTTAATTTTATCATATTTTACATTCCAAATTAATTCAAAAATATCTTTGCATAATGGTGAGATAATCTCCCCTTTTTGGAGTAGGCAGTTATTCGAACAAATGATTAATTTTCGGAATAATTAAAGATTTTACCACAGTAACTCGACCAATTGGTGTTAGAATTCTTATATAATAAATTATTTACAATAACACGAATACATGTTTAGTGAAAGAAGATCTTGTTTGCCAGCATTTCGAACATAAAGAGGAATTTGGTAATTTGACATGCTTAACATTTTAACATCTTAACATTTTTTCAAATCGAATTATTAAGATCAATTGTGAAAAGATGTATATCAAATGTGTAATATTATGTCGATATCTGTAAATAAAAAAGTTTTTCTAAAAATCTACTTAATTTTAAATGACTCCTGTAAAAGTAAGATTTCACAATTAACAAATGGATATATTGTAGAAAAAAAATTGCACACTCCAAAATTCCCAATTTCTTTCTCGTAATATTAAGACCATATCTCACCCAGACCAATAAATTGCGATGCCTGCTGTATGATTTTATTTATATCTTTTCCGTACATTCCATAGTCAAGTGATTTGTATATTTGTATGTAGATTTATTTGATTGTTATAGAAGGGTCTTTATAAATCAATACAAGGGCATACCCTCAATTGAACAATGGATCAAGACAAGCTTTTACACACAAACTCAAGATGTATTAAAATAATTTAAAAATACTAAAAAGCTGATGAAAACTTGCAATTGAATTAACTATTTCTTTAGCAAATGTACTTAACCAGCGAAATATTCAACACTGGTCTAACAAATGTAATTTTAGCAATTAGATAGTAGAATTAATTTACGTTCACAGCACTTTTCACATACACTACAGTAATGATTTCGATTTCCCCCTTAGATTCCAAAGAAAACCCCTTGACGTTTCCCTGTCAGTCCCTGACATTTTCCTGTCTTCCCCTGACTTTCTCCTATGATCCCCTGTCGTTTTCCTTGACTACCCTGTCTACTCCCTGACGTCCCCTGACTTTGCCCATTTTACCACTGTCTAACCCCTGATGTCCCCTGACATTCCTTGACGTCCCTGTCAACTCTCTGATGTTCCCTGATTAGGCCCCTGACCACCCTGTCAACTCCCTGTCATCTCCTGACATTCATTGTGACCTAGAAAAAGGGTTAAAATATGTTTCTGTTGCTATCTAATGTGAAAAAAAAATTATACCCTACTCTTAGCAATTTTCAAGTTTTGTGAAAATATAGATTTAATCATTAGGTTTTCTGTTTGATATAACTTCTTTCAAAATATGATTGTATTTATTGTTTGGAAGCTTTTCAGATAAATCTTAATAAGAATAAATGCCAGTTACTTTGAAAAGAATAAATTACTAATTTATTGCGTCTTGTGTAGCATGAATGGCATGCATGTAAATATATTTTTATTGATTGATTGATTTAATTACTTAATTAATTATTTGTTTGTTTACCTGGTTTTTATTTAATTTTTTCATGTATCTTTTTTATTTATTGTCTGCTTATTTATCTATTCATTTTTGTTCATTTATTTATTTGTTTTATTTAATCTATATATTAAATTTATTTTTACATATTTGTTTGATTAAAATATCAAATGAACTAATTTATTAATTTACTTAAAAGTTTAATTTATTTTATTTTATTTCATTTATTGATTAATGAAATTTAATTGAATTTCAATTTGTGTAGTTCTTCATACGGAGTTTCCGGGTAAAACAAAGTATCCTTCAAACTATTTTAGGCATATTCAAATTACTTTTAATTCTTTTTATTTCATGATTGTTAAAAAAAAAATCATCGTCTTATTACGCACAGTCTGAATCTGAATTTGTTTTATTGCTTCCCTTACTTTGGTAAATAAAAATTTCCTCAAAAACTTGTCACGGTGGTGAAAGAAATAACACCTGCAGAGTGGATACCGTCGTGCTGCCACAGAATAAACAGTGTATAGTGGTCAGCCAAAAGGACAATATGTGTCTTGTCTGTGTACCCAGCTGAGTCACTGGTTAACTATCAAAATCTCAGAATTACTTTCACAACCATGCAATTTTCAAGGAACATTTTTTTGTATCAAAGTAAAAGAAGCAATAAAACAACTTCCGAATTCAGATTATGTTTAAAAAGACGATTATTTTGATACCCATCATGAAATTAAAAGAATTAAAAGAACGAATATATGCCTAAAAATAGTTTGAAGCATGGTTTGTTTTTCCATAAGACTGTTTATGTGGAACTACACAAATGAATATAAATTGAAAAAAAATAATTAAAATAAAATGAATTAACAAAATAAAGGGAAAAAAAGAAAAAAAAATAATTAATTAATTGTTGAATAAAACAAATATTTAAAAAAAGAAATGAATAGATTTAATAAATAGTTTGAAGCATTTTTGTTTTACCTTACGATTGCTTATGCGGAACTCACAAATAAATTGAATAATATAAAATAATTAATTCAAATAAAATGAATTAAAAACTTAATAAATATGTAACATTGATTAATTAATCAATAATTCAATAAAGTAAATATATAAAAAAGAAATATATAAATAGATTAAATTGATAAATTAGTCAATAAATAAGTAATAAAAA